TAAAATTCAATGCCATACAATTCTTCAATGGGCAGAAGTTCCAATTATCAGTAACAGAAATGTATAGTCTATGTCCCCTACCCTTGAATCAAGGCCAGTGTTTGACTGCTCTGACACGCTGAATAAAGAAGTGATGCTCTGCCAATTTCTAGGCCCAGGCCTTAAGTAGCAGACAGTTCCACTTTCTCTGTCCTGCAACACTTGTTTGTGGAGCTCAGCCTATCACTGTGCTGTCAGAAGCCCATGCCATGTGCACAGGCTGCCTATAGATGCTCTGATCTACAGCCTTAGCTGCTCACAGCCAATAAACCTGACCAAATGCTGCTGCGAGTTTAGGCTATCTGGAATTTTCAGCCAACTGAGCCTTCAGATGACACCACCCCAGCTGCAACTACACAAAAGATCCCAAGAGAAAACCCCCCAGCTGACCTCCAACAACGTGCAGAACGCTGAGGGGTGAAAATGAATCACTGTTTTAAGCTACTAGGTTTTAGGATGGTTTGTTATAGATCTGTAGATAACTGAACAGCAGCTAACACTATAAAACTTAAGCTCCATGAGACTTGGGACTTTGTTATCTTCCCTATTGTATCCCTAGCTTCCTGATAAGGACCTAGCACACAACCAACAGATCAATAAATATTTATTAGTAATACCACTGATTTGAGAAAATGATTTGAAAAGCACTTATTATTTTTTTTTTTTTTTTGCAGTTTTTGGTCAGGGCTAGGTTTGAACCTGGCACCTCTGGCATATGGAGCTGGTGCCGTACTCCTTGAGCCACAGGCACTGCCTAGCGGCACTTATCTTTTTTAAAAAGCTATTAATTAAAGTTTAAATAATGGTCTTCTTTATGCTTAATAAAATACTTGAGCGCGCAGAGAAAGTTTTTAAAAATCATGCCATTAATCTCACACCTAAATTCAGAAATGGGTTGCACATTTGACCCACCTAGAACTGGATCTTTTAAAAAATAGAATGTGATGGCCTAAATATTTAAAAGCTTCATTAAGAATGTTTTGAGGCTTTGTAATATTCTTAATCTAGTCTTTTAAAAACCTATCTATTCTTTTACTATTCCTCACAGTGATTCTCAACCTTCCTAAAGCTGCAACCCTTTAATACAGTTCCTCCAAAATTGCTCCCTCCCTTGCTGCCTGTGAGGAACAAGGTAACAGGGAAGTCATCATAAAGATGGGTCATTTGGGGGCAAGAATTTAGTCAAAATGCAATACGTCAGTACCTGGAAGTGAGAAGTAATCCTGGCTGGGCATGGTGGCTCACTCTTGTAATCTTAGCACTCTGGGAGGCCAAGGTGGGTGGATTGCTTGAACTCAGGAGTTCCTATATTACCTACTACACACTTCTGAACATAAATACATTGCAAAATTACAGAATTAACTCTGCTCAGGATCCTGTTCTAACTAGTGATCCCTGTTCTACAATTCTATTCACATGTGCTCCCAAAACATAGTTCTACTGCTGGGGCACTGATAGTGGCAAAAAAAAAAAAAAAAAAAAAGAGGAATGGGGAGTCCATGGAATTAGTGACCCAAATGCTCTGAATTTAAAGCTTTTTTAATATAGAGATTTAGATCTAATAAGTGCTTCTAATACTTCATTTCTCCTAACAAGTAAGCTAGTCCTGTCACTCCTGAAGCAGAGGAAATGGAGCAATCGGATAGACATTCCTTCTCTGAAACTTTCACAGATTGGTCTTTGTCAGGACACGAGTGAGTAGCTATCAAACGAGTGAAGGCTACTAGACGTGTGTAACTATTCTCACCCTTTGTACGTGTTCATTTCTTGTGCATTTTCAGTTTGTACCCAACAGGCTGCCTTTAAGTTCAGCCCCAATTCAGGTGCTTTGAGCTACTTCAGTTCGATCTGTCCAAAAATGGGTAACAGAGGCTTTCACACACTGTGAGTTGCCCAGGGTCTCAGTTTCCTTTTGTTGAGATTATGGGTTTTGAGAATATTGAATAAATACGCAGAAGGAGACTCCATGCCCAAGTATTTGAGGGACAAAGCAAAGCCCTTTGAAACAGACAGGAACCATTCCTGAGTGACAGTAAGAAGCTTAATGTCAACAAACAGCAGTGTTAACTCCAGCACCCAGGTGGCCTTAAGTCCCCCAACAGCACCTTCCCTGGGTTGGGATCAAACCTCCTAGTTTGTGTAGGACATTTCAGTTCATACCTATTATCTCTATTATCTCAATGTATCCCCTCACTCTTCAGAGTCCCAGTTTGGGCAATAAATTGTATGGTCTCCCTATCTGTTTACGGTAGAACTTTGCCAAATCCACCTACTTTTCTGTAGCAGGCCTCTCTTCTGGGGCAGCTTTTCCTCTATCAGCTGCCTGCATCCCAGTCCTTCTGCCCAGCCTATTAACCTTCCTCCTTTCTCTCCTGACCCTGCTAACAACCCCAGATCTTTTCATCTCCAGGAATTCCTTCTCTTTCCTCCTTCATTACCCAGAAAGCTTCCTTCCTGCAAACGCCTTCAAAGCCATCCTTCTGTGTATTTCCTGGTTATTTTTCACCGTGAACTCTGGACATAGACAACACTGATGCACATCCTGCACACAAGATCAGCACACAGTTTGGACCGGGGTCCTCAAACTTTATAAACAGGGGGCCAGTTCACTGTCCCTCAGACCATTGGAGGGCCGCACTGCGGGCCCCGGGACCAGTCAGCTGCTAAGCAGGACAGGCAGCGGCAGCAAAAACACCCGGCGGGCCAGATAAATGTCCTAGGCGGGTTATATGTGGCCTGTGGGCTGTAGTTTGAGGACACCTGGTTTGGACAGTTCTGGTTCCACTGGTCATTAAATATTTTTTAAAACCATCCCTGACCCAAAGGCCTTTAACCCAGGAGTCTCCAGACTTACTAAACCAGTCTCACATAGCAGAGAGGACCCCGAACCCCACGGGCGATTATTCTCTTGCACCTGAACTCTGACCAACCCTGGCCTCACACGTCCCAGGCACCTTGCAAGCCACCTCACTTCTCATAGTCTTACAGAAAGGCACCATAGAGTAGCAGTTAGGAGCACAAGGTTCTTAAAATACCCAGTTTCTGAAAATGTAGGCCTCAACACTTACTAATTTTTGAAAATCTACTAAAGTTCTCCATGCTTTAATTTTCCCTGTAAAATGTAGCAAATACTACTACTTCTCATATTCATGGTAAATATAAAGCAAGTTCCAAACAAAAAAAAAGCAAGTTCCTACGTATAAAAAACGTAAATCAGTGCCTACAGTAATCACTTTGAAAATGTCAGCCATTGTCACCTGTTTTAAGTTGAGGATCGTTCCAAGATAGCATGGCTAGTGGTGATAGTGAGGTGGAAACCCAGGCTTTCTCCATCTCAATTCCATGCCTTTCCTATGCATAGTGTTTACCCAAGTGTTTCCTATACCTAATAAAAGGCTGTATAGGATGCTAATGAACGAGATGGGGAGTACTTCCTCAAGTTACACCACGTAACAGCAGTCACACAGCTGCCTACTACTACACAGTGTAGATTTGAAATAGCAATAAATACCAGTGATTGAAGTACTGACCTTTATGTGGGAAAGGAAAAGTTCTGACTTAGGAGTTTTAAAATGCAATTTTATATTGATTAATTTCATGTTTTTTTAAAAGTACTGTACTGAACCAAAAGTAACTAGGTATACTATCTATTCACATAATAAAACTATTTGAAAACCTTAACAAATTTCCCATCTCAGTCTATTTTACTGTTCTCAGCATTACAAGTGCCGCCTCCTTCCCAGCACCTGTTATCCCGCTTCTAGTATCATCTCTGGAAAGCAGCGATGCTTGCCTTCCTTCAGAAGCACATGGATAACTCCAATATGCCCACAACTTGTACCTTCCGCCTTTTTGAATTGTGCTACTTTTTGGCGTAACAATAAAAAACATCACTAGGATTTTGAAAACCAAAATTCTAGAGCTGGCTGTGTCATCAACTACAGAATCTTAGATCACATACCCTCCCCAACACCCACTTGTCTGTCAACTGCAAAAAATAATTTATATTTGCTTATTCCTTTATGCTATTTATCTTCACTATAACCTTTAGATTTACATGACAGTTTAAGGCTCATCTTATGTAAGAAATTCAGCCTCAAATTAAAAAAAAGAAAATTCCGTCTCAGAAAGGTGGCACAGTCTATCTAAGACCCCACAGAGACCCAAACTCACAGTCTTGCCCAAGATCTTACCTAGTCCTGGTACATGTATTCCTACGTCTGTCAAATGGATGAAGCAGCAATTTCCCAAGTCCCCTCAATAACTGCTTTCTGTGCTTCTACTTGCTGTTTTTCTTCTCTCACATTGAAATCAGAAAGTATATATATTTAATCATCAAATTTCAGTTACCGTGATTGTTTACCTATCTTGTACCCACTGCTGCCTGTTTCTAATAGGAAAGCCTTTGAACTTCCCTACTTATCAAAGCAGGGATTGCTAACATGTTATAAACACCCCTGATTATGTTTTTTGATTTTAACAGTAGTTATTCTATATTTAAAACCAATTTAAAACAAAGGAGATCCTTGCTAATTCTTATTCCTTGGCATAACAATAAAAATGGATCTTCTACTGATTTTGCATTCAGTCCCGGCTGCCTTTGAGAAACACTGTTATTCTACCTCCCTGTTGTAGTCTCTTTCTCTAACAAGAAAATGTCAGTTTGACTATCCAAAGGAAGAAGATGTGAGGTGAAACTACGACTGTTAAAGGAGTCAGAACATTTCCCAAGGGGCTACATAACTAACTTAAAAGCTGGTATCTTATGCCTAAAATAACATATTTTATTTATAAAAATTTATAGATGTGATTAGACATGCTGCCATATACATATAAATCATGCTTAAACCAAATCAAAGCTTAAAAGAAAACAAAGCACATCCCATGATCACACCTGAACAGCAGCAGAGTTCAATAAATATTAAGTATGCTCTCACAAGTAGGGGACACCAATAACTTGATAATTTACATAATACATTAAACATGAGGAAGTATACAGGCCATGGGGATGGGGGGGTACACATAAAAAAAGTAATTTCTTGATTTTCTTCATTTTTCAGGGATGGCTTTCTTGTCTTCAGGAGGCAAGATTTTGACTTCAAAAGTAACAAAATATTTGAGGAGGGAATTCACATCTTTCTGTTCTAACTGGTATTCTTGTGCTATTTTCTCAGCAGTCCATGTTTCTGGATAAAGTTTATGATTATTGAGAAGTGTCAACGCCTCTATAATGGAAATTTTGCCTATGGGAATGTTCTTAATATTCATATCCAAGTGATGGCCTTTCGGCAATCTGAACTCCTTCGGCACTTGAGGTGTTTCAGCGGTTTTTACCTGGTATCAAAAAAAAAAAAAAAAAAAAGGCTTTTAGAATGAGAGGAAAGATTTGACATTCCCTTTCAGGTTTCTCAAACCTACCTATTCCTCTTCACATAAATACTGCACATACTTCCCCAAAGTACATTTCTCCTTATCACAAGCCATAGTTTCATGGCCCTTCCTTTCGACACGCTTCCTTTTTATGACCACAGTTCCATTATCAAGAAATTTAGGTAGCACTAGAAAATAAAAATCAAATGTATACCATCCACTCACCACAATATTCCATATATATTTTAAAAGAACAACAACAAAAATAATTGATTGGGTTAAAAATTACACCTGCTTTAGGACAGGACTCTGATGCTGCCCTAACAGCTAACCTGACAACACCCATTCTGTTTTCCAGTTTTGTTTTATATTCAAGGCCCCCAAACATCTGAAGGAATTCAAATACTGCTAGACATCTTGCCTCTTCTGAGAAATAAGCTAATAACTCCAATATCCGAAATCAGCTGTTCTCAACCTGTGGGTCGCGACCCACAGGAACTGTATTAAAGGGCCACGGTATTAGGAAGGTTGAGAACCACTGCCCTAAATGAATACAACAACCTGCGCACACCCCTTCTTCCACCTCTTAGTCCCACCCAAGCTTAGTCCCTGCATCTGTGCTCTGCATTAGGTCCTCACTACCTAGCCACGCCCATCACTCCTTTTTTCTTCTCTTTTTTTAACAGCACCCTGTCTACTGCTTTTTGTCAAAATACAGAAATGCTACAAAATACAGAAATTACTACCTTTCTAAAACATGTACCAAATCCCAAACCAATACCTCATTTATGATTGGTTTCCTTCTCTTCAGTTCAGGTTTAAGGACAATGACATTTGCTACTTCTAATGACCAAGTAGTTGCTTCATTTGGAGGACACTTCTCAGACCTTATTTGAACTCACTATGGCATCTCGCTGTATCTGACACTGGTGACCGCTCCAGCACACCTGTAACTATCTTTCCCCTTGGTTTCCAGGCAGTCTCCCATCTGTTCCTTCAGGCTTTTCTTTGGGCCTCCTTTCCCTTCTGCTGCCTCTTAAACGCGAGTGTGCCACGAGCTCTGGCGCCAGCCCTCTCTGACTCTACACATTCTTCCAAAGTAATCCCATCCACTCCCTCGACTTCCATTACTGCCTACATATTAAAGATTTCCAAATATGTCATTTTGAACCTAGACCTTTTACCTGACTTCTATTCCCAAATGCCCAATGCTATCTCCCCTTGGATGATACACACACCTCCACACACCTCAAATTCAATTATGCCTAAAACTGAACCTGTCTCCAGTTCTACTCCTATATTCTCAATCTCAATGACCAAAACCACCCACCTTCCACGTCCCAGGGCAAAAACTGGGAATTAATACTTGACACCCTGGCACCTCTCCCTCCCTCATTACCAGTAAATGATGACAGCATCTTGTGGATTCTGCTCCCTCAGTCTCTCTCAAATCCATTCACTTCTATCACTAACTCATCAAAGTTCAAGTCAATGTCTCCTGCAGGAACTACTGCAAACTCCTCTCAGCTGGTCTCCTCTCACTGGATAAAATGTACTTTGTCTCCTCCAGTCTACTCTGAAATCCGACATCATTTCTACCATGAACTCTTCATGGTGTCCCACTGTTCTCAGAATAAAACCAAAATTCCAAAATTCATTGACAAGACAAATAAGAACCTTCACAATCTGCCTCCTGTCATCCATCTCATTTTTCCGAATCACCCCTCACACTTTCCCCCAACTATACTCAACTCTAACCGTTCTCCAAAGGCACCACACACTCCATCTTCATACTGCAACCTTGGCTTAGCACACTCTTCCCCACTTCTTCACTTTTTAAAACTCAAAGTGCTTCTCTCATCTTCCTATTCCCAGGTAGACCATCTTTCCACTCCAAACACACCTTTTTTCAGATTTCCCTCCTAATCGATATTAAATACTAAAATAAATATTACCTGACCAAAAGAAAATCCTTAAGAAATTAAAAATAGAAAAAAATCCCAAATATGATAAAAGTATTTTTTAATCAAAAACAATCAGTATCATTTTATTATAACTAATGTTAAAACATGAGAGACATCCTAAATAAGGAACAGGTGAAAATACTTCATTTCACTACTGTGTTAATGTTACAATAAAAGAAAAGATGACACAATAAAAGAAGTATAAATACTAGAAAGGAAGAGAAAATTATAATTCCATACAGACACAAAATATCTTTATAAAAATAAGAGAATCAACTCAAACCTACGGGAAATAACTACCTAGCAACGTGAGAAGCTACATCAGAAAGACCACTTACTGCTAAACAGTGGTCCCCCATTATCTGTGGGTTCAGTTACCTATAGTGAATTGCAGTCTGAAAATATTTAATGGAAAATTTCGGAAATAAACAATTCATAAATTTTAAATTATACACCATTCCGAGCAGCATGCTTATATTAAAAGTGACACTTAAATAACTTAATATGGGTCCCAAAGGGCAAAAACAGAGATGCTGGAAATTTGGACACACCAAAGGGAGGTTATAGAGTGGTTCCTTTACACGAAAAGGTGAAAGTTCTTGACTTACTAAGAAGAAAAAAATCCTATGCTGAAGTTGCTAAGATCTATATAGTAAAAATGAATATTCTATCCATGAAACTGTTACAACTGTTCATTATTATTATTATTATTGTTAATCTCTTATTGTGCCTAATTTATAAATTAAGCATTGCCATAGGAAAAAACACAGTATTCTGGGGCAGCACCTGTGGCTCAAAGGAATAGGGAGCTGGCCCCATATGCTGGAGGTGGCGGGTTCAAACCCAGCCCCGGCCAAAAAAAAAAACATATAGTATTCTGTATATAGAACCCAGTACTACTCAGTTTCAGATACCCACTGGGGGATATGGAATGTACCCTCCCTCAGGTAAGGGGGAACTACTGCATTAGCAATAAACAGTTTAAAAACTCAAAGTGAAAAACATCTCACTCATAGTAACAACCTCTCTCTATCCCTCAAAGATTAAACAATTAAAAGTTGTTAATTCTCCACAAATTAATCTATAATTCCAATTAAATTACACTCAAAATCTAAATAGGACTTATTAAAGAACCTCATAATTTGATTCCCAAGTTCATATGGGGAAAAAAAAATGTGTGAGAACTTTTTAAAAAAGAATAAGATGTCATACCAAATATCAAGACACATTATAAAGCTCTATTAATTGAAAACAGTATGGTCCGAATGTAAAAACAGAAAAGGTAATAGAACTGATAAGGCCCATAAACAAGCCTGTAAGTGAAGGTGAGCTGCATTTTAAATAAGTGGGAAAAGGTCTGGAAAATTCACTAAATTATACTCAGACAACTGGCCATCCTTTGAAAAGAGAGGTTAAACTGATATCTTCCACATACCAAACACTATACTGAAGATAAAGATTTCAACTTAAAATAAAATCATAAAACTACTACAAATAAATACAGAAGACTGCAGTTGATGATGTTGGAGTGGGCCCAGTCTTCCTATACCGTCAAGGACAAAAATGCTCCCATATTTGACAGAATTTTGAATAGTAATAAACATATCAAAAAGTCAAACAACAAATAACTTGCCATATGACAGGCACAGTATCACTTATATCTAGAGATAACACAAATCATTAAGCAACTACAAACTGCCCATGAGAAATAGGCAATTCGTTATCACTTCCCCTAAGGACTTTTTTTTGGCCTCTCCTAATGTCCCCTATGAAATTATAATACCACTATATTTCTTTTTATGTATTATATCTGTGTCTTACATAAAAAACGCTGCATTTTTTTCATACCTCAGGAAGCTATTTTAAAATCTCTGATTTAGTATAACATGAGAGAAAGAACACTTGGCAGTATTACTCAACCCCAATTTAAAAATAACAAAAGATGGCTCGGTGCCTGTGGCTCAAGCAGCTAGGGCGCCAGCCACATACACCTAAGGTGGCGGGTTCGAATCCCCAGCCCGGGCCCTCCAAACAACAATGATGGCTGCAACCAAAAAATGGCCAGGCGTTGTCGCAGGCGCCTGTGGTCCCAGCTACTTGGGAGGCGGAGGCAGGAGACTCGCTTGAGCCCAGGAGTTGGAGGTTGCTGTGAGCATGATGCCATGGCACTCTACCCAGGGGGATAGCTTGAGGCTCCGTCTCAGAAAAAAAAATAACAAAAAGAATGTGAACAACCCTTATACCTTTTTTATGTGAGCATCTGGGGATAACTGAATCCAATAACCGCTATTATATGCAAATGACTTGTTATTTTCTTTCTTTCTAGTGAAGGTATTAACTATTTGTGCAAATAGTTTATCACCTATGTAGAGACAGTACTAGACTATTTTAGAGTGGAGAAAGATGGGAGAAGTTGGCATATTTCTCATTTAGCCACACAGTCCCTCCTACCTAGAACTAGAACCTTCCTGGCCCTACAAACTTATCTGGTTAACTGCAACTCAGGCCTGAACTTAAATGTTAGGCTTCAGAAACCATCCCTGATCCTCCACTTTCTAACAGGTCCCTCACAGTGCCTACATCTCCATTCATTAATTACATATGTATGGCTGCACAACTGCTCATCTGTTTAGTGTCTGTGTCCTTCACAACATAGTAAGCTCCCTGAGAGCAAGGCCTAGGTCTGTTTTGTTCCTCACCATATGCAAAACAATTGTGCCTGGCACTTATGTTATTACAGTATAGGCAGGCGTCCTCAAACTATGCGCGGGCCATCGGGTCCACCGAGTGTTTTTGCTGCTGCCGGCCCTCCAACGGTCTGAGAGACAATGAACTGGCCCCCTGTTTAAAAAGTTTGAGGATCACTGGATAAGGATTTATATTCTCAAAGTATTTCTAAGGTCCTCCTCCTAATTTTACGCATCCTATCTAACTATATCCTTAAAAGCAAATAAAAAACACAAACTCAACATCAAAGAATCCCCTGAGATTAGAACACACATGAATCCACAGAAGAATTAGAAACTAATACTACAGCTCTCCCTTTGTCACTCAAATGACAGCCTACAAGTATTCTCACCAAATCCTGCAAATTCTGAAATATTAAACAATTAAATAATTCACATAGTTGCCTTCAATCAATACAATCTTTTAGAATTCTGGTAAACATCCAATAAACCTATGTGTCTTGCTGTCTTAAACCACTGTGCTTAGCAGTCTTTGCCAGGAGACTTACTCTGGTCACAACTACACTGACAGTTTACACTTACCGAGCACTCTCTCTCTTTCTTTTCTTTTTTTTTTTTTTTTTTTAAGACAGAGTCTCACTATGACACCCTCAGTAGAGTGTTGTAGTTGTCACAGCTCACAGCAACCAAACTCTTGGGCTTAAGTGATTCTCTTGCCTCACCCTCACGAGTAGCTGGGACTACTGGCGCCTGCCACAATGCCTGGCTATGTTTTGTTCAAATCCCCCAACTTTAGTGTATGTGGCTAGCGCCCTATCCACTGAGCTACGGGCGCTGAGCCGCAGAGCACTCTTTTTACCTTTCGACAGTTTTCTTGATCATTTCCTAGAGCCCCCTTAACCGAATTATACATTTACTTAATTAAGCCACAGATTACCTGCACGGAAGACACAGGATCTTTGGAATCGACATACACAGCTTTTAGGAATGACAGTAGCTTGTCATCTTTTCTAGTAATTTCTCTCTTAATTTCTGGATGGCCTACAGAAAGAAAAAAAACCAAATATTAAACCACTATAAATTTCCTCTAAGATCCCAAATATTTAACCCAAGATAGCTACTTTGATTTTTTTTTAATAAACATAATTTAACTGTAAATCAGAATACAAGGTCAAGGCCAGCGTCCAGGGCTCTGTGACCACCCCTTGAGAAAACTACTGCATATTATCCCTCCGGATTTTGAGTCCTCCTGTAAGTCGCCAAACACTGCAGACCAAAGCCGGCGAGGGCCAGGTTAGAGGGCACAGGTCACTAGGAAGTAGGCGGAGTCGCCGGTCTCACCGCGGGCGCAAGGGGACACTCAATGTCACGGGCCGGGCGCTTCCATCTTCCCGTGTTCTGCTGGCCGGCGACTCCACGGCCGGGCAGGCTGGCGTTGGTCACCAGCCTCCGGACCGAGGTGGTCAGGCGCGCAGAACCGCCCAGGCCGCCCCGCGCCCCCGTGTCCCCAGCGCCCCGATGCGCCACTCACTGCTGATGTGCTCCCGCAGGAGGCTCTTGGTGGAAGGGTGCTTGGGCGCGGGAGAGGGCTTCATCTTGCTGAGCTCCCGTTCCGCTCGGTTCTCTAAGTTGAAATTCCTCATCGCGCGAGCCACCAAACCCCCCATCTCCTCACAACATGATATCCGCAGGTTCACACCGCACGTGGGAAAATACCGGCTCGGGTGACCTCCGGGGCGCACGGAGCATGCGCAGTCCGTGCTCCAGGCGCGCGAGTCGCCCCTTAGCGGTCGGGAGGCCACACCGCATCTCAATTCAGAGGGCGTCGAAGGGACCCGCTCCCTCCGGGGAGCTAGACGAGCTCCCAGGCGGGGCCGCGTCCCGCGGGAGGGGGCGGAGCTTAAACCCGGGTCCAGCCCCGCGGTTCGCAATTCCGGGGACTGAGGAGTGGAGCCCAGGCTTTAAAATTTTTCCCGCCGAGCGCCTCCCCAGACTGACTTAATCGTTTTAGGGGTGAAGGGGTTAGGCCGGGCATTATTGAAGCTTCCCACGTGATTCTAAGTTGCAGTGAGGAGTAGAGAATCAAAGTCTTAAGGAAAACTGGCCTGAACTCTTTTCAAGGGCTGTCCTGCCAGAGATAAAACAGATAACGCGCAACTTATTACACTCGGGTCAAACAGGGTTCAAAGTTGCCTGGGCCTTCTTTTGCGCAAGGAAAATAATAAAAGGGCCTTCATTCTCGATAAATATTTATTAGTAGGCTCTCTTCTGTTTGAATGACTCTTATTTTCCGGTCCCCTGCGTGGTGTGCTGCTGAGCCACTGTATTCTCCTTCTCTATTATGTTTTACATCCCCTTCTCATAATTCATTTGATCTAAGGGTATCGATTTTAATTACACTTCTCTTCCTCTTCTCTTTATTTTTGCTACGAGTTTGATTTATTTCTCCCTACTAACAAACGCGGTGTCACCCCATCATTCCCGTGCCTATTTCTCTTCTGCCTTCCTCTTTCTAAGCCTCAAATGACAGTAACAACTAATTAGACATTAGGAAAAACGAGTCTCTGTCCCTCTCCCTTTTTCTCCCCCTCCTCCTTCTCCCCCTCCTTTAGTTCCTCACCTCCATTTCTGAATGAGTTGCTCTGGTACTGGTTTTATTATATTTAAGATTCTTCAGTAATATTATGAGTAATCTATAATAAAAGAAACCCACCAGAAAGAGAGTAGTTTCCAAAGTTATATTTCTCTCAGACTATGGCTCCAAAATCTGTTTTTAGTGCTCTCAGCTCTGATGAGCAAAATGAAGTAGGTTGGGTTTTTAAAACCTGTTTAAATAAAAGAATCAGTGTAAGGATAATTGAAGTAATTTTTTTAAAAATCAAGAACCAAAGTAAAGAAAGGGATAATCTTATTTAAAGAAAACTAATGTAATTATTAAATATAGTGCTTAATCAAGGGCAAAATATTACATTGATTCTAGTGCAATGTTCTCACTGGGATTAGTATTTGGAATCTATAGAAGTTAATACTGGTGTTCTCTGATGGAGTTAATTGAGAAGTTATCCTGAAGGTGGCAGGCTGCTCCAAGATTTCCGTCTCTGAGATTTAAATTCTTTTTGTAATTCAGTGCTTTTTAGCCAAGGTATTTTTATTTCTATGGGTGCAAAGAAATTTTGAACCTGCTTTATTATGTCTATATGCTTCAACCACGTAGCAGTCGCATTCACTGCCCATTAAAATATTTTAACAGTGAAAGTCTCATGTTCATAGAAATTCTACCTAACAGAGGCAGCATAAAAAAGTACTGTTAGAATGTTAAATAGTGTTGGAGTAGTGGGGATTATGATATGAAAGAATTCCTTGAATTCTCACATATTAAGGTAGAACTAGGATTCAACATTTAAAGACCATCCAACATGTGCAGCTGCTCTGCCCATTTCTGGGATGGTGCTGCTGAGGACCTCAACAGAGCAAAACAGAAGGGACCAGAAGGGCACAATTGGCTATCTCCATTTGGTAATCATCACGGAAATAAAACCTGACCACAAATGCGTAATTCTGGCTCTTGTCAAAACAGAAAAGTTAACAGGAGCTCTGAACTTAAGAAATTCCCTGGAGCTTATGTTAAAGGTTGAGATCAGGTCCTTAAGGAATGTATAATTAGGATGGTGCTCAGAATTAAGCTCTCATCTGAGTAGCATGTTATGATAGGTGTGTATGGCTGAATATCTTAAAATACTAATGAAATAAACCCAGGATCTTGCCAGCACACTAGAAGTAAATTCTACAAAGACAGGAATTTTTGTCTGTTTTATTTGCTGCTATATTCAACATATGGAATGAAGCAGGTACTTAGTAGGTACCAAATAAATGTCAAATGAACCAAAAGATGAGCAAGCTTTCTGAGCTAGAGTCCAGATCCTAGACAGGTTCTCTCCGCCTGAACACTGGCCTTTATGGTAGAAGTGAGTCTTGTGCAAACTACTTACTCTGGTTAAATCCACTTTCCTCATCTTAAAATAAGAATGATAGTAATTATGTAATAGAGTTTACACTGATTAAAAATATGCGTCTAGTACAATGCCCAGCTCTGAATATGATGTTCAATATTTGCACTGATTCCCATTTTCCAGAGAAGCAGGGAGAAGTTTGCAAAAGAGTAGATATTCTGAAGCTTGGGTGCGTAGGTGCATGAAAGGGATTAAAAAAAAAATGTCTGGAAATAAGGCCCATGTTCTTCGATCATTTAATTTAAAGAAAGAGGTATTCTAAATTTGATTTTTATTTGATGATTAGCATGTTTTGTACACGTGTGGTATTTTTGTGCTCATTAAGGTTGGAATATGGGTAGGAATCACAAGTTCAGGGGCATAAAATGTCACCTGGCTTTGCCTGGCCCTAGCCAGTCCTCTCCTTGCCTCCCTCTACCCTACTTAGCTGTCTCTCTCTACCTAGACTTTTACCATTAGGCACTCCCTCCTTTGAGCATAATTCAACAGCAGTCTGTGTTATCCAAAGGATTGCAGTTACTAAACCCAGGTGACAGGTGACTCAAGGAGCCCAGGACAGCTGGTAAGGTGCCAAACCCTTCCTTTTCTCTGCCACACATTGAAAAAATTAAGTTGTCCTGAGCCATACTTTAAATACACAAACTAACAAAAACTGGCTAGCAAAAACAAAAAGGTCTGTGAATATTTTTTCTGATAGTCAATGCCACAAATCAGCAAAAAGAGTCCTTACAAAATCAATGCACAGCCTGCAGGCTGCAAGTTGGACACCCATGTGAGTTTCCATTGACCAATCAATCCCCAATCACGAAGGGGCAGCACAGTAGATTTATGGAGGAATGGAAGACTCGTCCAAGCAAAGGTATTATTGCTCAAGCAGAAAAAATTTCTCCAGGGCCTGGACTCCAGTTTAGAAGCCAGGGAATTATAGGGATCCAACAAAAGTGATATAGGAGGCTCTCCCAAACTTCTCCAGATTCATAACGTTGCAGCCTTGGGGGTTTGTAAAACCTAGAATCATAGGATCGCTGGTGAGGGGGTGAAGGAGGGAGTACCAAATTCAAAACTGAAACAAAGCGGGCTTTGTGCAGATTCCGTCAGTATTCAGGCAGAGAAACACTGGATCTCGTAGACTAAGATCAGCACCCAGTAGTTACATCCAGATGCTGGCTTTGAGGTTGCAGCACTCATAACTTTTGTCTTTGCATTAGTGTTTCCTTTCCTATAGCTGCTAACAAACTACCACGAGATGATTTAAAACAAAACAATTCAGTGTCTTGAAGTTCTGGAGATCAGAAGTCCAAAACGGGTCTTACAAGGATAAAACTAAGGTGTCAGCAGAGTTTTCTTCTTCCTAGAAGCTTTAGGGGAGAATCCATTTCCTCGTCTTTTTCATGTTCTAGAGCAGTGTTTTTCAACTTTTTTTTTTTTATCTCATAGCACACTCGAACCTATAGTTAAACTCCATAGCCCACTTAAATTATGTTATCAAAAAAAAAAGTTAAAAAAAGAATATCCTTTTTGGATTTATTTATTGACACAAACAAAATGCACCATCATGGCCAAAAAATGAAACAAAACAATTTATTATAATTTGTAATAAAAAGATAGTAATTAAAGTTCTTTTGAAATGTATTTATATTTATTTCCTTTTCTGTTTATTATTATTTAACATTTAATAAGATATCTGAGCTTGACATTTTTTCAAAATATCTTCTTTGCAAGGTCAAATTTTGGACAAGCACATCTTTAAATCTTCTTCCAAGTATTTTAGCCATGATTGATTTATATTTTTAATATTATCCACTGCAGAAAAACTCGCTTCATACAAATAGGACTTTGAGAACAGAAGAAGTATTTCTGTTGCTTTTTTGGCAATATTTGGAAATTCATCCTTGAGAGTTAACCAAAGATTGTAATATCTGTTGTTGAATATTTTCATTGCAATCCTCTGTTCCTTCTTATTTCTATTAACTTCCTCTTCAGTAATATTTAAAGTTCCTGACATACATGCACTTAAAGAAACGGGGGAGGTTTTCACCCAATCCAGAGATGTTATGTCAAGTACAGGCTCAGGAAAATATTTTTCAAAAATTGTGTATAATAAATCTAAAGTTTGTAAGATTTGTTCAATAATATTTTTATCCAGTTTACATCTTTTCAGTAGTTCAAACATTTCTATTCCATTTTCTCTTTGAATTCTCTCCTTCCTAAGCAGTAATTTTTCTCTGAAAGCATTAATTTTATCTGTAGAAGTGAGAATATTTTCATGACTTACCTGCATACTCTTAGTAAGAGTATTCAAACACTGAACTCAATCTGCAAGAAATGCAACTTTATTGCACCAAACCCCATCACAAAGTAAATCACCTAATTTAGAATGTTGCATTTTAAACGGTTGGTACTTCTTTTAATTCATAAAATCTTGGTAGAATTCTTCCTGGAGATAACCATCTCACCTCTGGATGCAGTAAGAGCTGCATAAGAGAAGAATCCATTGAGGAACATAATTCTGCAAACAATATTGATTGCAATGGCCTGCTTTTTATATAATTAATCATTTTAATAGTATTACTAAATCCAAGCACTAATGATTTTGATGCTAGCACTTCTTTGTGTAGAAAATAGTCTGTAAAAATAATTTTTGAATTTTTTTTTTTTTTTTTTTTTTTTGCACAAGTGTAACAAATCCTGTTATACCTCCAGACATAG